CGACTTTGAGAAGAAGGATGAATTTTGAATGAACAACAGATGGTAAACTTTTCTCAAACAAAGCGTATCTAAAAATTTGTCTACTTTCAAAAACTACTATAATCTATCTTTTAGTTTTTATCTGTTTCTTTAAGAGTTTACAAAAGATATAAAAGTAAATAAATTAGATTAGAATTAGAGTCAGATTACGGAAGTTTTCAAAAGGATAAGGTAGTTTCCAAAAGATTGGCGAGGATTATGGTCCATAGAGCTAGGATTAGAGTGTGTTCCTTGCAGACAACGCGTTTTCTAAAAAGCGCGCGCCAAGGATAAGCTACCGTAACCCTATGCTTTGGATCAGCAAATTTTTCAAAATGCAAATGTACATTAAAATCTTGCGCTCTTTTTTTCTATTACTCTTTCCTTAGCTCTATTACTCTTTCCTTAGCTCTATTACTCTTTCCTTAGCTCTATTACTCTTTCCTTAGCTCTATTACTCTTTCCTTAGCTCTATTACTCTTTCCTTAGCTCTATTACTCTTTCCTTAGCTCTATTACTCTTTCCTTAGCTCTATTACTCTTTCCTTAGCTCTATTACTCTTTCCTTAGCTCTATTACTCTTTCCTTAGCTCTATTACTCTTTCCTTAGCTCTATTACTCTTTCCTTAGCTCTATTACTCTTTCGCTAAAACTTAAAAATTTTTAAATGCTATTTAAAATTAAAGAAAACATTTAAAACGGGAAAAGTTAAGAAACACTATTAAAAAATTATATTATTTACGAATTTACCAGGCCTATTGTCTACATTTGCACTAGAACCATTCCAAAAAAAATTTCCACGCCCTAAAAAACCTAAATCCTTAAATAAAACTATCCATTACTATATTTTAAGAAAAGTTTGCAAATTTTTTTCGCGCGACCTTTATAGCTTTGCTTAAAAAGCGCACCTTTTAGAAAACGCGTTGTCGGAAGTTTGTCGGATCAATTGTCTGACAAAAAAGTTGTCAATGAAAATTTGTCTGACAAATTGTCTGTCAACAAGGAGCACACTCTAGCTAGGATTACGAGTCCATAGAGCTAGGATTACGGTCCATAGAGCTAGGATTGCGGTTCATAGAGCTAGGATTACAGTAGTTTTCGAAAGCGGACATATTTTAGAAGATAACTGTCTAAGAATGAGATCAGAATAATTAGTAACTGTAAGAATGAGAAGGAAAGAACTGGGAAACCTTTTTACCTTTTTGTGATCTCTTACGAAATTTTTAATCGTTTCTTTTCGTTTCAATCACCAAGTTAATAAGATTTTCGGCAAATTAAATGAAAAAATTGAAAGAAAATGGAGATTTATATGTTTCATATCTTTGATTTAAGCTTTTATGACATCTGCATTCATCAAAATGTCATCAGCTTTCTGGCAAAAATTCCGTGATCCGATTATTGTCATCATTATATCATCGATTCTACTTGGTAACAAGCATTGTGAAAATTCTTTTAGCATTTTTCAGCGATTTATGTTATATTGGATTTCAACTACAATCAACAAGAGTGGACGAATCAGAGAGGGAATAACGCGGATGATTTAAACGAGAATTTAACGCATCAGCTTGGGTCGATCATCACGGCGACGGCCATCGGAGTGCGGGTTTTTTGTAGATTCTTTAGCTATTTTACTACAATATACAATGTTTTGATGTGAAATAGATTCTAGCTTTGTTTTTGAATTGATTGATTTGATTCTAGCTAGGTTTCCTTAGACTTTAGTCCCTATAAAACTAAAGCCAAGTCCGGCAGACTAGATCAAAGCCCGGTCTGAAGGCGGAGAGCTTTGTGAATCAGATTTGTAATAAAGCAAGAAAGCTTCTGACTTAAGTCAGAAGTTTAAAAACTCAAGCACCAGTACAAATCTTTTGTTAAGGTTTATGGTTTAAGCATGATCACCACTCCGTTAGCGATTTTCTTTGCCGCCACCAATAATTTCTTGTCAACGCCGATTCGGTTTGAATTGGCCTTTCAACTCTTTCAAATTTCAAATATTTACAGGCTACTTGCAATAGCCGAAAACGCGAATAAACTAGTTTATATTCTAATTTATTCATCTTCTCTTCTATGTGATCTGCAATTGTCTTGGCTTCAGTAAAAGAGAAATAAAATGATAGACGAAAAGTTGACTTAAGATGTTCTGCTGAAATGACGAATATTACTGCTGAGATCTCAGTTTATATTAACGAAAGAGGGCTTTCCGATGTGGCACAATATTGTCAATTTCTTATTTCATTGAGGTAGGATTTAAAAAACAGAATCTCTTCAGAAAGCTAGAATCTCTTCAGCCGTTTCCTAGCCATCTCATTTAATGGTATGCTTTTCCGATATACAATTCGTTTACCATTTCTTCAACTCGTTTCCCCGGCATTGTTGAGAGTTTTGATTGAGGCGATTTTCTCGCAAATCTCCTCTAGTTCACGTGATGCTTCTGATTTGCAAAAGTTCTGGTATGGAGTCAAGAGTTATGTGATTTCGATTCCCTATTTTCTGACGTGCGGACTTGATTTTGTGACAAATCGAAACATGAAACATGTAAGTAAAAAGCAGAAATAGTATCAAAAATGTAAGTATCAAAAAAATTCTTCAAAATCATTTTCAGTTGAAAAAAAGCGGAAAAACGACAAGAGCTGAATCTCTGCTAATGCTTCAGGTTTCTCAGTTTCTTTCAATTTAAATTTAAATCCAATTCAATTTAAATCCAATTCAATTTAAATCCAATTCAACTTAAATCCAATTCAATTTAAATTCAATTCAACTTAAATTCAATTCAATTTAAATCCAATTCAACTTAAATTCAATTCAATTTAAACCCAATTCTATTTAAATCCAATTCAACTTAAATTCAATTCAATTTAAATTCAATTTAAATTTAAATCCAATTCTATTTAAATCCAATTCAATTTAAATTCAATTCAACTTAAATTCAATTCAATTTAAACCCAATTCTATTTAAATCCAATTCAACTTAAATTCAATTTCAATTTAAATTCAATTCAACTTAAACCCAATTCTATTTAAATCCAATTCAATTTAAATTTAAATCCAATTCTATTTAAATTCAATTCTATTTAAATTCAATTCTATTTAAATCCAATTCTATTTAAATTCAATGTAAAAATCACGATTTCCAGATGATCTCAAGCTCAATTTTCATTATTTTAACTTATATCATATTGACTGCAATCGTGCTCACAATGGGACTCTTTTTTGGGAAAAACATCGGCCATTTGTTGTATTTATTTAGTGACATTATTTGGGCTCTATTTTTTCACTTTGGAACAAGGTAGAAGTTTACCGTTTACCGTAACCGAATCTTAATCCTAATCCTGCAAAAAACCCTAGTGCCACATACAACTCTGTCAAAAAATTATAGACGCACCCTGTTTTTTGCTAGTTTAGAGCCGGATATAAGTGCCAGTCCAGTGAAAAGTATTTTTTAGTTTCTTTAATGTAAAAAAACAACCCATTCAATTAAAGAGACTAAAAAAACTCAAGAAAGCCATTCAAGTAGCCTGGAACCGGCTTCAGCCAACAGCGCTCCGTGACCTTGCCTCTTCGATGCCGAGACGTCTTTTTGAAGTTGGGCTAAAGCAAGGAGGGGCCACACATTATTAATTTATTTGGTTTGTGTTCTTACTTTTATTTCTGTTAACTTTTTCTGATAAAATAAAAGTGCGTCTATAATTTATTAATTTTTTGACAGCTGATAAAACGTTTTTTGTATGATAAAGTACTTTGAATGAGTGAAATGACTTGAAATTTTGCATGGGTTGTTTTAAATTATAGACGCACCCTGTTTTTTGCTAGTTTAGAGCCGGATATATGTGCTAGTCCAGTGAAAAGTATTTTTTAGTTTCTTTAATGCTGATATTTTTTGACAGCTGATAAAACGTTTTTTGTACGATAAAATACTTTGGATGAGTGAAATGACTTGAAATTTTGCATGAGTTGTTTTTTTACATTAAAAAAACTAAAAAATACTTTTCACTGGACCCTTTTTCTAAGCATATTTGTGGTCCTTTGTGAATCGTGGAGCTTGCTTCGTGAGTTTGTATTTGAGTATTGTAGATCGTTTTACAACGTTCTGCACAGTCTTCTTAGGAGTCACTTTGGTCTTGAGATATGTACGAATACACTTCTCAGAACGTCCGATGCGACGAGCAATGTCCCTGTTTGAGTGACCAAGCGTGTGGAGCACATCGATACGTGTTTTTTCCACCACATCCAGTTGTTTTCCAAGTGGCATATCTGAAAATGTAAAAACATTTATAAACATAACTAATAAGCAAAAAAATGAGAAAAACTAACAATTATCGATAGAATAAATCGTCAAATTCAAGTTGCGTCTATAATTTTTTGACAGCTGATAAAACGTTTTTTGTACGATTTTTTTGTACGAAATACTTTGGATGAGTGAAATGACTTGAAATTTTGCATGAGTTGTTTTTTTACATTAAAGAAACTAAAAAATACTTTCCACTGGATTGGCACTTATATCCGGCTCTAAACTAGCAAAAAACAGGGTGCGTCTATAATTTTTTGACAGAGTGTAGTCGTTAACTTACAAGATTTTCATCAATTTCATCAATTCATCAATCATCAATCATCAATCTATTTGAGTTTGGTCGGCTGTTTGTGCTTTCGGAAACGCAAAGAAAACCCTCGAAATTCGGTCGTTCACTTGCAAGTGACAAGGAAAAATGTTTGAAATGTTTGAAATGTTTGAAATGTTGGAAATGTTTGAAATTCAAAATTCTCATGCATATTTGTGCCTGTTTGAGAATAAAAATCAACTTTTATTTGTTATTTAGGCTCATTTTTTTTTGACGCAAAAGAGCTAACTATTGAGATTGAGAAAAATTCGTTTTTGGGTGTTGGCTTTCTCTCTTCAGAATAAATCTTATCAGCAGCTGAGTTTTTCCAAAGCCACAGATCAAAATCGAAACCTTCGATACGTCATTTGAAAGTTCTCAAATTGAAATGAGACTTCTATTGTTGACGATTTTTCTGTTCGCGCTAAACTCCGCACAATGCCCATCGAGATATTTCTTTGAAGCTGACTTGAACACTTGCCTCTACTATTCGGGCAAGCAGGGTGTGTTTTGAAATTTAGAAGTTAGAACGAAGTTCGTAAAAGTTGGAAAAGTAAAAGTTGAATATCTTTTTTTGCGTGAGACTTTAGGAACTTCTGATTACAGATTCGGAATCACCGTGAAATTCTACATCAGAAACATTCTGTTTCCAGCTGTTTTTTTCCTACAGTTAGAGCTTAGGGGTGCTTGTGCATTATTTGTACCACAATATTCATGTAAATAAGTATATAATTCAAAACGCAATAACTCATTTAGAAACGTTCTCTGCTGCCTTGGGCTTTTGCCAAGCGAACTCTGGGAACTTGCTCTCGATTCATTCACCTTTCCAAAATAACCTTCTCGCACAAATCCAATACAGTGAGACGGTTTTGCGCGGCTGGTTGGGAATTGTAAAAACAAATGGCACTTGGCAGTGGACAGATGAGACACCGCTTGATTATTTGAAATTTCAGTCAAATGATGGTAAGTAGCTAGGTTTCAATTTTCGTTCTTATCAGTCACAAATTCCAGATGATACTCTATCTTGTGCTATCTTGGACTCAACAAATTCGATGTGGAAAGCGGTGAGCTGTGAGGCAACGTATCAATTTTTATGCTCCGCTTCTCCGACATCGATTAATCAGTGAAATTAACGATAAATGTTCTGAATAAATTGTATTATCAATACTTGTACAACAAAGAAATCAAAAGAGAAAGGTAATCAGATACTTTGATAGTATTGACTCATTGCAAAAGTTTTCAGAAATTTGCATTTTAGCTTTGGAAAGGAAAGTGAAAAGGGGCAAGGAAATGTGAAGGGTGTAATGTGTGTGGTGATTGATGGGAATTCAATCGGTGGCTGATGTTCGAGGATGGGTAAGGGGTTAAAGAGGAAAAGGGTACTTGCACCCATCTTCTTTCACTTCTAGAGAAACAGAGAAACCCTAAAAGTTACCCCTTTCCACTCACCCCATTGTGATCAGTGGTTGCCAACTGACTCTTGTTGAATGCCTTGTTTCCCCGAATGTTCAAATTACTTCACAGAGCATTCTCTTTTCAATGAAATGATTTTTGAACTTGTTAACTATTAAATGTTTTGATCTTTTTATGATTCTATGTGTCAAGTTCAGCCAAAACCAGCTTAAAACTATTGGGTTGGTGAATTGAAAACTATTGTTTAGCCGGCTATTGTCATATGTGACAGTTTGAGCACTTTCTTCAAAGGAAACCCATTTTGGTGTCAATGGAAAAGTTGCAGAGAATCAAATATCAAGCTTATATCCAAATTTTCAGAACGATTCAAAAACTGGTTTTCAAGAAATGCGAAATTTACGAATTTTCCCAAAACTTGCATTTTAAGGAAACTACTAAGTGTATCTTTTCTGGAAATTTGGCTATAAGCCTAATTTTTGATTCTCTACAACTTTTCTATTGACACCAAAATTGGTTTCTTTTGAAGAAAGTGCTCAAACTGGGACATCTCCAGTCCTCCATTTTTGAGTCTCACACTTATCTCACACACAAATCAAGATCCTACCACGAAAGAGGAATCCGCAAATTGCCTGTAAAATGGGCAGAAGTCGTCAATAATAAAGGAAATTATTTGGAATGAATTGATGATTTTATGTTGAATAAATTTTAGTTCAAAGTCCCGCAGTTTTCAATTCACCAACCCAATATATTTCTAACCGGCCAGATCAAGCCCCAGATCTATAGGAATAATCTGACCTTAGCTGGCTTAGAGTCAAGCCAAAAAATCATTATATTTATAAGTTTGATCTGGCACGGCCTGTAATAGGTTGTCCTAAAGTATGGTCTAGTTTGGCCTAAAATATAATCATATAGCTAGAACTGACACTGGTTTCTATTGCACTTGTGACTCGTTCAATTGTTGCCCTAGTTTAGTTATCTTTTTCAATTCATTTTTCATTTAAATTCAATCAATTTTCTTGAAAATCTCACAAGATTGACTTACAAAAACACCACAGAAAAACATTTACTTGTTTTTGAATCCAAAAAAAGAAAAAAAAAAAGAAGGGAATGATCACTAAAGAGGCTTCCCACTGTGTTGCGTCTCTTTCCTTTTTCGTGAATTGTCTGAGAAAAAAATTTACACCCGAATTACCACTTTTTGCGAAAACTAGAGGAAAAGAGTGAGCTAAGCGCCAAATTGACCGCTTTTGTTTGGAAGATTTTTAAAATTTCCGCAGCTCTTTGGAAAACGTAACTGATTTCTGCTGAACTAAAATTCTAGCATTCGATTTATTTATTGTAATATTCTAATAGTAATATTCTAATTATAATATTCTAATATATAATATTCTAATTATAATATTCTAATAGTAATATTCTAATAGTAATATTCTAATTATAATATTCTAATTATAATATTCTAATTGTAATATTCTAATAGTAATATTCTAATTATAATATTCTAATTATAATATTCTAATTGTAATATTCTAATAGTAATATTCTAATAGTAATATTCTAATAGTAATATTCTAATTATAATATTCTAATTATAATATTCTAATTATAATATTCTAATAGTAATATTCTAATAGTAATATTCTAATTATAATATTCTAATTGTAATATTCTCTTACTATTATTTTCATCATACTTTCTCGAATCTTTTCATTTTCCCATTCATTGGTCATTTCTTTTCCCTTTCAATCCATTCTCAACATATGTCCATCACTTGAAGTGGATGGCCGTGGCAAATTTTTGGCTCTATGGTGGTCTTTTGACATTTTATTAGTCGTTAAACGTTTTTTCTTTACATCTCATAGCTTTTTCAAACAGTTTGTAATGAAACAAATTGATCTTAGAAGAAAAGAAATCACATCTGTGACCAATTATTGTTTATTGTTGGATTTGATGGTTTTTTTGAGCTTTCTGAAGATTATGCGCTTTATTCAAGTAAATTCTTGTGTTAAATAAGTTTAGTCAAAGGTCACAAAGATATGTGTACTCTTACATTTTAAATCTTGACCTTATTTAGTTGCGCAAAAGGTTGTTGAAGTATGACATCATTTGCTAAAACTCTAGGCAATTTGTATGTACACTACTGGACAATGAAATATCATATTTGAAAAAAGATCGTCACTTTCGCGCGTCTGTAACTCCCTTGTCTTTACCGTATTTCTAAATATTATTATTACCATTGTGTAGCCCTTGAAAAGAGCTTTCAGAAAATGCATAACATTAATAGTTTAAACTCAAAGACAAGGGAGTTACAGACGCGCGAAAGTGACGATCTTTTTTCAAATATGATATTTCATTGTCCAGTACTGTATCAACAACTAGACTTTGAGTTTTCTAGGAGGATATCAGTGACCACTTGTCAATCGTCTCAGCCACCGCTCATCCACAACTATAATCAGTCCTGTTAAGGCCTTTACATAAACATTCGATTCTTCTTTGCTATGTCTTTTTATTCAAAACTCTTCGATGATCTCTCTCTAAAAGTCTAGTGCTAGGCTGCACATTCATGTTTATTTTAGAGTGTTTTCCTCGCGAGTAATGCGTTTTTTTAAAACGCACACTTGGGAAAAATTATCGTACTTTTATTGTAGTGAAAATTATTGCCAAAAAAAATCACGAGCGCCGACTTATATACGATTCCTTTTCAAAATATTCAGCTGTTTGAATCACTGGCAAATGGCAAATTGGCAAATTCCCGTCAAGTGTAAAGATATTCAATTTACGCGACGTGTAAAGAGGATTACTCGTAGTTATTCAACCAAAAACGTGAATTAATCGAGTAAAAACTACTCATATAACAACACTAACAATAATCATGTAAATTTTACTCGAGTAAATTACTTACCTGAAAGGAACACACTCTAACTATAACCAGTGATGTTAAGGCCTTTACATCAAACTTTGCATAAAGCTTTACATAACTTTACATAAGCTTCTTCTTTGCTATGTCTTTTTATTCAAAACTTGCTCTTTCGATGACCTCTCTCTCTAAAAGTTGCAATTTGAGACAAAAGAAGAAGAAAAAGAAGTTTCAAACATGATTTCCTCTCGAATCTCCACGAGTTCATCCCCTTTTTGTCCCTGTTCTTTCTCCAATCTTTCCCCAGCTGTGCTGATTAGAGCCTGTGAAAGGACTAAAGTCCCTTGTTTGGGCAAAGTCTTTTCTTTGTATGCGCAAAACAAAAAGCAAGTCTTTCTTGTCTTTACTTCTTATTTGAACTTGAATTTGAATGTGTTACATTGTTTTTTATTGTTTTTTATTGAGCATCGTGTTCTAAAAATAAATGACTTTGTTCTTCATCAATAAAATCGCTTAGTTTCTTCAGACTTAAGCCAGTAAACTTCAAATTCTTCAATTCATTTTTGGAAATAACTATTTCCACAATTTCTCAATCACTTACTTGTTGATAAATATCTGCCTGACAAGGCGCAAAAGTCTCATGGTGGTGGTGATTATAAAATTGTGAAATGAGAAAAAGGGGGTGGGACAAATGCGACCTTTTTTTGCGCACCTGGACATTTGCGCACCTTTTTTTTGCTGGAAGAGGCCTTAGGCAAGGCCGTAGAGCTTCAAAAATATTTCCATATAAGGGAATCGTATGCGTAGATTCCGAATTTCGACAAATCAGACCTCGCTGACAGGTCAAATTTGGGCTAAAAGGCAAAAACTGCGGAAAAGCGTTAAGTTGCGTAGTTTTTGCCTTTTAGCCCAAATTTGACGTGTCAGCGAGGTCTGATTTGTCAAAATTCTGGATCTACGCATACGATTCCCTTCTATAGAAATATTTTTGAAGCTCTACGACCTTTCCTAAGGCCTTTTCCAGCAAAAAAAAGGTGCGCAAATGTCCAGGTGCGCAAAAAGAGGTAGCATTTGTCCCACCCCCGTTAATGATTTAAAACTAAAGCTAAAGTTTACCATTCTCATTTTTCACCTTTTTCTGGAACAACTTGATGTTCAGTAAAGCTTTTTGCAACGAAAAAACATTCTCGGAAAGCTTTCGTTCAAGTTTGTGAAGAAAAAGATCTCTAATCTACAAGGGGCATCTTTCCCCTCATTCGCTTTAGATTTTTTTCCTCTTCGTTCACTTTTTTTCCCTCTTCTTTGTGTTTCACTTCATTTGCGGCCTTTAACGCTGTCACAAAGTGTTCTTAAACTATATTTTGTACAGTGCTTTTCATCTTGGATCTTGTACAGTGCATCTTTTTTTTCCAAGCCTATTTTAGATCTTCTTAAATCTGTAAAAACTTTTGCTTCTTTTAACTTGGAGCTTTTGTACTTTCCCTTTGGTTTTAATTTTTAAAATCAAACCAGATCACTTATCGAGGGAAACGGTTTTCTTTGCTTTGCTCTTTTTCTTTTTTCGCAGATGATTTCGGGTCAGACTTCTCTGGTACTGGACACAAAGTTTGCTCACAAGAGGTGACACAATAAATACCCTTAGAGTTTTGATGGTTTCGTTTTGTATTTGACCACCTACATAGCTATTGATTTTTATAAAATCTAAAATTTTTTTTCAACTCGATTTTTGTACTTACGGATTGTGGTTCTTGTTTTCCGTGGTTGATTGAGGGGGTTTTCCTCAAGACTAAATTCGGAAATCTAGCTAATCTAGACTGAATACCGTAAGCTAGCTAATCTGAACTGAACACCCAATCTAGACCGAGTACCGTATTCTAGGCTAAATACCGTAATCTAGACTAAATACCTTAATCTAGCTAATCTAGACTGAATACCCTATTCTCAAAGTAGCAGAAACCAAATGCAGACCAAAGCAGACCAAATGATTGTGATTTTTTTTCGTTTTTACCTTAAAGAGTTACTCTTTCAATTCATTCATTCAAGATCGGAGATTCAAGATAATTTTCTGGGCATTATCAAGAAAAGAAAAATCTGGTCTGGTCAATTGTGCGAATAAAGGGGGTGGAGGCAAAAGGAAAAGAATCGGCATTGTATCGGCATCCTCTTACCCTTTGTTGGAATAAGAAAAGAAAGAAATAAAAAAAGAGAAAGAAGGGAAAATATCTCCACAATTAATCATCGTCGATATAAAGAGAAAGGGAGCAAATTTTTCGGAGTGTGAAAGGTGCTGATGGCATCCTCGCTTTTGAGGCCATAATTGCATCCCTTTCACTCACTCGAAAAGATATTCATCGAGTTTTTTCTTTGTTATCTCTTGCCTCAATCAAGATTTTGAAAGAATTTCTATTGAATAAAATTTGAATTGAACAGATTTAGGTAAAAAATTGATTTATTTTGATTTGATTCATAGCATTGATTTGATTCATAGCATTCATAGCATTCATTTTTTTTATTTCCATAGCTTTATCCATTTGATTTCTGATAAAATTAAAAATATATCTTTTGAAATATTCTTTTAAAATTACATTATCAGAATAAAATTATTTACAATTACTTTATCAGAAAAATAAAAAAAATTCTGGAATCTGACAACTTATTACCTTTTTCATTGTTGATAAAATGAGGATTACTCGTAGTTATTCAACCAAAAACGTGAATTAATCGAGTAAAAATTACTCATATAACAACACTAACAATAATCACTTTTTTCTCTCTTCCCGAAATTTTTTTTTAGCAGAGCTTCTGGCGCTTTTTGGGGTTGGGATTTTTGCCTTCGTTCTTGCGGGAACTTTGATGTTTCTATTCATGCGCATGCTGTTTTTGTAATGGGTATTGTTGCATTTTTTGGTTCTGTACTAGTAAATAGTAAAATGATAAATTCAATTTACTTTATGATACCCTTCAGTTTTTAAATCCTTTTTAGATAGCTGATTTAACATTGTAGAAAGAACTTGCTAACATTTGTGTCGCCATCGACGAAGTATCAATCCGTTCTGTACTCTTATCACGAGTATTAATCTTATGTTAGATGCTGCGTGTTCTTGTTATGTTGTAAGCGTTTTGGGGAAACCCTTTTAACCTTTTTAAACCCTTTTAACCTTCAGAATAGCCGTGCTACGCGGCTATTCTTAAGCAGAATCATCCTCGTTGATAAGGCTAAAGCGGGTCGCACCCCAAACTATAATATTGATGTCAATTTCTTTACAAACTTGACTTCTGTTTTACGTATGACTTTGAAATACAATTCTTTAAATCTCAAAGATTTTTTTTCTTTGAACTAGTTATTCATCTCTTTGTGAACTCTAGAATGCGACCACCATTGCCGGGTTATGTGAGACACGAGACGGCGATCACTTCAATGATCCCCGGTAGCAGTCAAAGTTTGGATCGAGGTGAGTTGCTGGCTGTAAAAGAAAGATTTGGCTCACTTTTCTTTAAATATACTGAAAAGATTTACGCACCTTTCCCATAAAACACTCAAAAAACACTCAAATTTCAGGTAGTTCAAGTCGAAACTTCTCGAATTCGAACACGAGCGGATCTCGCGCCTCAGTGTACACCGTGCGGTATGCTGTACCATACAAGTGCGTTAATCAAGCCAAGCCAGAGTTCGAGATTTTCTTTGATAAATCTCTAGGAAAATTTTTCAGACAATCAGTTTCGCCGAATGGTTCTTCACAGAGGGCTCCTCGTTACAATGAGAATGATTTGAAGGTGCTTTAAAAACTCTCAAACTCACTAAACTTTATTTATATTGACTTTAAATTTATCAAATTCTTCAGGCTGAAAATCTCAGTTATCGAGTGAAAATTTTGGAGGATGAGAACAATCGATTATTGCAGAGACAGGGGGAAATTCTCACAGATTCGAATCGACGAGTCGAGGTCAGTTTTGGGGTTTTTTTTTTTGGAAGGAAATCCCTCTCAAATCGTTTCTTAATCTAAAAATTTTCGTCTAACCATGACAAAAAGGTGAAAATTTAGAGAAAATTCATTGTAAAAGTGTCGATTTTGGAATAATAAAATATTTATTTATTTAAAAGTCTACTACGATGTTTATTATGGTTCTTCTAAAATCTAGACAACGATTTTAGATCTCCAAATCTCAAAGAATTAAAAAGAAAATGTTTTCAGGTGTTTTTCGTGTCCATAAAAGGACCAAGCTTTTGTTTGCAAAAAAAAGCAAAAGCAAAAGAAATTAGCAGCGGATGGTTTCGATCCATCGACCTCTGGGTTATGGGCCCAGCACGCTTCCACTGCGCCACGCTGCTAGCTGACGAGAGCCTTCGAAATTTGGTTTTTGTAACATTTTCAAATCTTTCTTTCCACCCCCCAGTTTCCCTTTCTTCAATCTGCCTTTGATCCAAAAATAAAACAAAATCATCATTCCCTAAATATGAGCAAAACATCTCCCCGACCCGTCATCAGCAGCGTGGCGCAGTGGAAGCGTGCTGGGCCCATAACCCAGAGGTCGATGGATCGAAACCATCCGCTGCTAATCATTTTTGCTTTTTTTGCAAACAAAGCCTTTCGCTTTTTATAGACATCACAAAAAACACCTGAGAAACACCAAAAAACAAAAATCACCAAAAAACACCATCACAAAAATACATTTTTCTTTTTTCTTTTCAATTCTTTGAGACTTAGAGATGTAAAATCGTTGTCTAGACGTTAGAAATCGTTAGAAGAACCTCGTAAACACTTTTTGGGATTTCTACAATAACCAAAAACTGTCTAATACCATAATTGGAGGAAAAACAACTTTAGTACAGTGTTTGTCGTTTAAATTTCCTCAAAACAACAAACATATGCGTAGTGTATAAAAGAAGAAAGCCTATCTGTTAGCTAAAAATTCAAACTAATGTCATTCTGTCAAAATCCGTTGAAATTCGTTATTTGCAAGGTTTTTTGCAAGGTTAAGGTTCTTTTTATCAAAAAATTTACTTTCAGATGCACGTTAACGAGATTAAAATGCTGAAAAATGAGGTGAAAATGCTGAATGCGCAGAATAAAGTGAGTTAAAGAAGTCAGAATTACAAAGCCAAAGGTTTTTATCTATTCTTCAGTTTTCTAAGAATCAAAAAAGAGCCAAACTAATTCCAGGAGCTACGCGAGTTGTGTTGCTTTTTAGATGAAGATCGCAAAAAGTCGAAACAACTCGGAAAGGTCAGTGAATTGAAAGAAAACAAAAAAGGAAATCTCAAATAGATTTACTGCTTTGTGTAATTCTAAGAAAATCTTGGACTTGGCTTGCGCTATGCTTAGCTCCAATAATTTAGGAATGGCACAAGCTGGGCAAGTACACGAGTCATCTCATGAGACAAGTGAGTTTGAAGACTAAACTAACAAAAGATTTTGCTGCACAAGTAGAATACTTGAAATATTTTAGGAAGTGGCCACGTATCAACGCCGACTGCAAGGCAGCGAGCAACGGGAAAGGGAAATGTTGAGAGAAAATGAGGAACTCCGACAATTGTGTTTGTATTTGGATGAGCAGCGACAAATGTGGATGAGTCATCGAAAAGAAAATGATCGACTAGATGAACAGAGACAACGAGATGAAGAGGAGTTGGCCGAATCGGGTGAGTTACACTAGAAAACTCTGACTAGGAGATTGTCTATTTCTTTATCAACCTTTTCTTTATGCTAAGCTTTAGGTTGTGGCGGAAGTGAACGAAGCTCGGACAGTCCTCCCTCGGAATCTCAAAAGATCGAACAATTCTCGTTATCGATTGACTCAAACAAGGCACAGTTTTATTCTTGAGCATTATTAAAACATTCGCGACGGGCTAGCCAGAAGTCTTCGCTAGAAGCTTGGCCGCCAGCTTTTGTTCCAAATGCTGTTCCAGTTTTCGCCAGACTTTGGCCAATTTCGTCCTCATTGCTTGTCATCTCTAAATTAAAAATACCTGAAGAGTAAAAGAGACAACCAAAAAAAAACATAACCACAAAAACCTTAACCAATTTAAATAACAAATTTTCCAGAATGAAATTTTTCTCTAAAAACTTTTCCTTTATACTCCAAATATCCACTAAATAAAATAGACAACTCTTAGATTACGGTAATAGGGACAAGCTTATACAAAAATCAATTACTTAACGAATTTGCGATGAGGCCTGGCCTACCGGTAGACCGTACGTGGATTTAGCACTTTTTTTGAGGCTGATTGGGCTGAAAATTTTCAATCAAGGGTTTTCGAGGATGAGGAATTCGAATCCGTTATCAGTTTTTAAAGAAAACTTCTATTTTTGGATATTTCATTCGGTTTAATTGCCCAAGTGCAACCCGACGTCCAGTATTTTAGATCTTCTTAAATCTGTAAAAACTTTTGCTTCTTTTAAGGACTTGAAATTTTTGTACTTTCCCTTTGGTTTTAATTTTTAAATCAATCCAGATCACTTATCGAGGGAAACGGTTTTCTTTGCTCTTTTTCTTTTTTTGTATGTACCGGCAGGTACGCGATTACAAAAATGTGCAAATTTTTATGTTTATTTAATCGCAACTTCTAGTACATGACCTCTAGCGATAAAAGAAAAAACCAAAATTCGTTTTTGCCTTTTTTGTCTTCAATTTGTTTTAATTATCTAAGTTTTAGAGTTTTTTTTTGATGACTATATTGACTCGGAAATTAAAGTTACTTAAAAACTAATAATGGATTGAGATTCTCCATCCCAGAATGCTTTTGGGTTGAAATTTTCAAATCTCGAGCTAACATAGATAGCTGTAAGCCAAAAATGACTTTGTTTTAAATGTGTTAATGGTTTTTATAAAAGAAAATATGAATCAAATAGTTCTTGTTCAGGAAGATGCTCTTCGTAAACTCTCTGACATGTTGCCACAAACCTCTGAAACATTTTGTGGAGCGCTGGCCTCATTGAGAACCCAGACAGGTAGACTTTTAGAACTTAAAAATCAAAAAAATCTTCAGAAGATCGAGTGATTGGCTACATACAAACGTTGGAGAGTCGAATCAAGCAATTGGAGAGACTTCAACAACAGGTCGATAAAGAGAAGAGTCTAAATTATTGTCAAAAGCGTGCTACTTGAAAACTTTATCCTTTTCAGGATCACCAAATTTGGGCCTCGTCATCGGATGTGGCATCGGAGGAGGCGGAGAAGACAATCATTGAACGAGAATGGACAAATGGAGGAGATCGGACACCCGTTGAGGGAATCACACAAAATATCAACAATCCATTGATGATGATCAGCAGTACAAGTGAGTCGATGAGCTGCGAAAGTTAGAACTTATTTTCTTCTCTTTCTTCCTTTTCTTTCTTCCTTTCTCTTCCCCCTCGTATTTCCTCTTTCTTCTCCGGCAAGACGATACCGGATAGCTCAGTGGTTAGAGCATCTGCCTGGAAAGTAAAAAATGGGGCAAAAGGTCGATGTTTTAAATCCCCTTTCCGGAAATCTTTCTTTGCTATGAGTTTAAAACATAAAATTCTTAGGTACAATGACCTCTTCTGGTACAACGTATGCGAGTTGGGAAACAGACAATGAGAGCGCCGTTTATGTGATTGGTGATGAGAAAGAGATGGATGAGAAGAATGAGACGATGAGGACATTGCCAGTGATTAGGTAATATAGAAAAGAATGTTAGGGTTTAGATAAAAGATTGGATTCAGAGAGGAAGACGATCTCGCAAAGTCTCGTGAAGATCCCTCCGATTCGCCGCTTCCTCCAAAGATGGGACCGCTTAGTTTGAGTACGGTAAGGGAATTAAAAAAAAGAAATAAAATATTGTTATTTCTATTTACAGCTTTCGGTTGGTCGTCTTTATGGAGATTTTTTGGATATACCGAGAAGAGCTCGAGCTGTCTCTGCTGAGATACAAAGAACTTTCTATGAGACGGTTTCTTTTTTCATCTTTGTAAGACTTTGTAAGCCTCAGGAAAATAGATTTTATGTCTAGAAATCTCTGAAAAGCTAACAAATTTATTAATATAAACTTTTAAAGGATAATATAGAGATCCAGGATTTCCAGGAGAGATCAGCGTCAATGGATGACGCTCCGCGTCTCCTCCATCTCCATCAACTCTCAAATGGACTCGATTTTGATGAACAGGTGAGAGAAATCATTATAAGATATTTGATTTGATAAAATTTGGATGAATTGTTTATGAATTTCGATCTTGTATCACTTTCCAAACTTTTTAGGTTTCCCCAAAAATCGTCATCAAACGACACTCGTTTCAAGGGGAATTAATCGAATATCAGAGTCAAGTTTAGGACATAAAAACGTTGCAAATTTCCCTAAAAACCCAGTTTAGTAAAATCTCTCTAAATTTGGTTCCTAATCTCTGCAAATTTGGTTCCTTACCTCTCTAGGACATAAAAACTTTACAAATTTCCCTAAATTTCCCTAAAAACCTTTATGATTTCTTTGTTAAATGTGTAAATATTCGATTTTTAATGTTGAAATTTGATTTATTACAAAATTTGATTTATTTATATGTCGTAGCCGCTTACGAAATTCAGCCGCTAGCGAATCATTCGTTAACGGCTGAATTTCGTAAGCGGCTACGACATACAGTACTGGACAATGAAATATCATATTTGAAAAACGATTGTCACGTTCGCACGTTTGTAACTTCCTTGTCTTTGAGTTTAAACTATTAGTGTTATACATTTTCTGAAAGCTCTTTTCAAGGGCTACACAATGGTAATATTAATATTTAGAAATACGGTAAAGACAAGGGAGTTACAAACGCGCGAAAGTCACGATCATTTTTCAAATATGGTATTTCATTGTCCAGTACTGTATGTCGTAGCCGCTTACGAAATTCAGCCGCTAACGAATGATTCGTTAGCGGCTGAATTTCGTAAGCGGCTACGACATATACATTTATTCCCCTCACTACCTCCACATCTTTCTTTGATTACTTTGAGTTTTTTAATAAAATTTTATTAATTTTCGATTTTTACTTCAAATTTATAAAGATTTAAAATAGAAACTGTTAAAAAAAAAAAAAAAAATGACGATTGAAAGTGGCAAAAATTGTTTGCCAAAACACTTTTAAAGTCTTGATTGCTTTGTAGGCGATAGAGAAGAGAAAAGGGGTTCACAGCCGTTCAATTCCACGAACCACACGCACATTGGACTGTGATCGGTGAGAATTGAGAACCCGGCTTGATGTCGAGATTTGATTTGGATTAAACAGATGAATTTGTAAAGAATTCGAAAAAATTGGAATCGAATTAGTTGTAATTTCATTCAGATCAGATCAAGAACATAAAGAAACATCAAGAACAATGCCAAAAAGAACTCGAACCAACCACTAGCCGACCCCAGCGTCGCCTAACTTGGCAAGATCGGATAGGCCCGCCCTTAACGCCTTCAACAGATACCAGCAAATCGCGAATGTAGAGTGAATACTTAAAGAAAGACGAACAATCAAGAACAATATAAACAATATAAACAAACGATAAGTTTTCAATCCATTTAAATCTTTAATTTTTAAACTTGTCATCAAAAATCTCCGCGTTGGCGTGTTATGAGAGGGTTGTTGACGTCCCAAACTAAAACTAGAGTAGTTTTTTTCGCAAATTTTCAAGTGTTCTCGTGTGGATATGTTGACTGAGATCATATCGTCAAAAGTTGTCAAAACTAAAGTGAACACTCGAATGTCCTGAAATGAAGGTCACTATTGTTCAGAATCGGTGTTCAAAGATCTGCAAGCAATTCGTTGACTAGAATATGGCGGTTTGAAAGAGCTAAGAAATTCATCGAGCTGTCATCTTTTCATTGAATTTTCAGCGTAAAAGGTATTAATTCTGAGTGATCAAAGCGCTTTCTTATTATAAGAGATTCACTCTGGACAAAGGCAGCTATTTATTTATTGTATTTTGAAGAAAAAAAAACAAATAGAACTGCTTAAATTATTTGAAATCTTTCCAATTTTGTTCTCAAATACCCTATGGTGTCAGTGTTGATTTTTCTGCTTGAAACTCTTGTCTGCCAACGTATGAGTGAAATGGGGAAAGGAAAGGAAAATGCTCGATTTCTTTGTTAACTTTTGGGTCCAAAATCATGAGAAACAAAGGGATCGACTTTTATATTTGCACAGATGAGATAAAAAAGAAAGAATAAAGAGAAATGAAAGAGTTGGAAGAGTTGGAAGAGTTGGAAGAGAATAGGGGAAGAGAAACAGGAAAAGAGGTTGATAAAGAGCCAAGGTATCATTGGAAAATGATAGAAAAAGAAAAATCGAGTGAAATGCTAGGATTCAGAAGAAGAGATACAAAATGAACAGTTAGAAAATGAAAGAAAATGAGACTGTAAATGATCTGAAAGAGCTTAAAACTGAGGGAAAAAGTTGAAAAGAACGGTAAGGGATCACAAAAAAAGAGTTTTCTAAAAAAATCGAAACAAAGCGAGCTCTTTTCAGCTTCGAGAAACGGATCTCTTCACAATTCCCTCAAGTACAATAGAGTTTTGTTTCAATATTTTTTTATTGTACACGTCAAATTGACCTTTGTTTTGCTTATTTGTTCTAAAGAGAATAGTCTTCGGACTCTCAAGGAAAATTTGAGTACTTGAAAAGAAGACTCTGAAAAACTTGCTACACTATCACTTGAGTTGAAAAAAAGTGAATGTGTTGAGTCTTTTTTTGAAACAAAGCACACTGAGCCTTTCAAAATTCGCTGTTGAATTTGATTTTACTATATTATTCTATTTACTTTGAACATCTTTTGAACATCATCAAATTTTCTTCAAGAAAATGCACTACTTCATGCAAAGGATCAAAATTCGGGTCAGTTTTTTTTGACACTTTATTCATCTACATTACCGTATTTTCTTTAATATTAGTGGACTTTGAGTGTCGTCTAAATTCCTCGAAATCTCGAAAAGCGCTTATCAGAACCTATCGATGTGGGTTCGGAAAATGTAGCTGACGATCAGATCTAGTGGGGGATTTGAGTGTTGAGCCTCTGGGAAAACTTGGAAACTGTAAAATCGTCATCAACTCGGCTCAACGGGAAATATTAGGGAAATAGATCAGTCTGATCTACTAGCCTAACCTTGAATAATATACCGTCTTCTCTCCAATAGTAGTGCACCCTGAGTGTCGTCTAAATTCCTCGAAATCTCGAAAAGCGCTTATCAGAACCTATCGATGTGGGGTCGGAAAATGTAGCTGACGATGAGATCTAGTGGGGGATTTGAGTGTTGAGCTTCTGGGGAAACTTGGAAACTGTGAAATCGTCATCAAATCGGCTCGCCGGGGTGCACTACTATTAGAGAAAATACGATATATGATAATCTGTCGTAAATAAGAGATTTTTAATTCGCCTTTTTTTAAAGAAGTCTGCCGTTTTTCCAAGAAGAAACTGATTAATAAAGTGTATGTTTTAAATTTGTAGTTATTTTAATAGTGTTTATGCACCACGATACGAGGTACAAAGTTTTAATTTTATGGCAAAAATCTAATGGTGGTGGCCATGGTGGCCAGAAATTTCATATATAGAAAAAGTCATGTAATCGGGAAAAAAAGTGACAAAATATCAAAAATTTATCCGCTCAAAATATTCACTTTGGCACCACAACAACCACCAGAATATTCACTTTGGCACCGCAACGCCACTGAGAAAATTCTGAGAATAATCGCGCTGAACTGACTTGGTAAAGGATAAAGAAAAATGAACTGAAAAATGAAATCCCCAATCTTGCAAATAGTCAACTAGTTTCTTTGTTCTAAAATCTCATTGAAAAAAAAGATTTAAGGATCAAAGTAATGCTTAGTTTTTACTTTTATTGAGAATGAATCCAATAGACTTTAGCTTTGAAAAAGTGTTGAGATGAAATTTGATCGCTCAACTGGATCCATTGCATGAATGAGTATGAGAAGTTCGCAAAAGATCTCTTTCTACTATTGAATTCAAAGTGTCAGTGGGAACTCTTTGCAAAAAGAACTCATAATAATTGATCATCAGCAAAATTGATGGGAAAACTTTTTGAAGTTTTTAATTGTCTTTGAACTTGTTTGGAAAATAGTACTTTAAGTCTTAATAGTTTAGCTTTCAAATATTATTCTTTAAACTATTTCCTTCTTTTACCTTCAGCCGTTCATTTCCTCTCATAGAAATCAAGTCGATTCTTGATCGAGAAATTTTCCTTGCTCCATTGGGTTTTCCGTTCATTTCTGCTTTCAGTTTGATGTGAAATGATCCGTGGGAAATTTTGAACTTTCACAAACTTTAGAAAAGAAACTCTTTCTTTTTTAAATTCTTTCTACTTTAAATTCTTTCTTCTTTAAACTCTTTCTACTTTAAACTCTTTCTTCTTTAAACTCTTTCTTCTTTAAACTCTTTCTTCCTTAAACTCTTTCTTCTTTAAACTCTTTCTACTTTAAACTCTTTCTTCTTTAAACTCTTTCTACTTTAAACTCTTTCTACTTTAAAGAAAAAAAGTTGTTCTGAGTTTAAAGCCATAAAAATTGTTTGATTTAACATTCGTTTATTGTGGAGAATTTTGTTTATAAATGATTAATGGATTTATTAATAGACAGTTTGCTTTAAAGCACTATTACTTTGTGTTAAAAGAAAGTAATAGAGCTTTGATGTTAAAAGAAGATGCAAGAAATGTATTGTTTCTGAATTTGACAGGCGTCAGATCGTCGATATCATCAAAGGTCGAGTAGTCATAAAAGGCGACAAGTCAAAAGCTCAATTCAGCCATTTGAGCCATTAAAGAGACTTTTTGTGTCAAAGAAAATAGAGTAAAGAAAGAGGGGAAAAAGTTAGGCATTTATATAAATTATCAGAAAAATTTGTCCAACGAATATCTTGGTCTCACTTTTTCTACTTATACTACTTACTTTTTTTACCCAAAAAAAAAATGATTTTATATACTCAAATTTGCTTAAATTTCCTTAACACATTCACAACGATACGTCTCATCGGTGGGCCGTACTAATGGCAAATATTTTTGGTGTCAGCTCAAGTTTTTAAAAAACTTTTGTTATTTATTTTGTAGAAAAGTTCTCGATAACTTTCTACTAGTTTTCAAGAGGAGATTCAGGGCTATCGAATGACGATAATAGCTTAGTTCATCCTTGAATCTTCACCAAATTATCAGTAAAACAGTTGACGACTACGCGACTGTACGCTCAAAATACTGTCGTCACGAAAGTGTTAAGAGAAAAAGGATAAAAAAGTGTGAATAATAAAAATTGAGCAAATCATCGTCTATCGATTGGTGAATTTGTTATTTATAAAAAGCTATT